TCTAGCTGTGCTGGGAGGCAGGGAGGGAAGAAGGAAAACTTATCACTGGCTTCATTTCTCAGTCCTACCTGTTTGGTTGGCTCATGGTTTTGACTTTTGGGAAAGCAGAGGGCCCTCCTGCTCCCTCTGCAAGTGAGTTAGCAGCCCGTTGACTCTCTGCTTCCCAGAAAAAGGCCACAGCAGCAGCAGCAGCTCCGCCTGACAGCCTCCTCTTCCTAAGCGCTTGGAAGCAGGGCTCCGACGGAGGGAGGAGGACAGGAGAGATCACTTTTCTTTCCTGAGCTAAATATACTGAGCAACAGCTGGTTCCTCTGCCTGCTTCCCTCGGGGAGATCATGGCTGCCTTGAGCTGCCTGGAGTGCCCACTCTGGATGACCTCGCCATGTTCTGTGCGGAGGTCACAGGCTGTGCTTGCCCCCCCCGCCCAGCGCTTTGCCCCCCTGGCTTGGCTGCAGGGCTCAAGCTGAGACTTCATTGATCTTGGACCAGCCTGAGGACTTTTCTTTGTTCCCCCCTCGCCTTTCTCTCTTTTTTTAACCCCGAGCTTGGCTCTCGGCAGAGGTCACAGCACTGCCCAGGCCCTCCACCGCTCTTTTTGGGCCTGGTAACTTCAAAACAGCTCTTTCGGTGGGCCACGTTGCCAACTGGAAGAAAAACATTCCAGAGAAAGGACCCATCCGGCTGCCGCTCTTGTGTGCGCAGCTGAGCGCTTTCTCCCCTAAGGTTTCTCTCTCCGTTGCACTTAGCTGCTCTTTTCTCTGGCCCGTGTTTTTCATTTCCTTCATTGCTGTTGTTGTGAACACGGCACCGTCCGTGCTAATGGCTTGTTGGCTCGTTTCAAGAAAAAAAAATGTTTTTTTTCCTTTACACTCCTGATCGGCGTTGCTTTTTTCAGTCCAGGAGTTGGGTGTGGTGGAGGGACTGGGCAGAGGGAAATGGGGTCACACATGTACTGCCTTGATTTTTTATGGCTTTCTGGGTGATTTTTTTAAAATTAAAAGCCCCTTTGTTTTTGTCATAAAGTTTGCCCCAAAGCCTTGTGTCTGTCTTTGGTGGACAACACGAAGCATCCAGGGCCTCAGCTCAGCCTCTGGACCTTTGCTGGCTGGGGAATTCTGGGAGCTGAAATCCACACATCTGAAAGTGGCCAAGGTTGAGAAACACTGCTCTTGAGCATAAAGCCCTTTCACAACTCCAGAAGAAACGGGGCTGAGATAGTTTGGACTGTTTTTATGTTGTTTTGGGGGATGTCAAGGGACAGATGAGAATAGCATGCATCCTAGAGACTTCTTGCTCCCATTCCCACCTTTAACTTTGGTGGCAGGGAACCCCAAAAATTGTGCCCTTGAATTTTGGCAGTGCAGTCTAGGTCGCTGAAGGAATTCAGTTGTAGTACTGGGGGATAGTCCCCACCCCTCCCATGAGTGGTTTGAACCCAAGGCCTAGAAGGAAAATGGTCTCCTGTTCAGTCCTCCTCATTCTTTAAAGCATTCCACCAAGGAGTAGAAAAGTTCATCCCAATTGAAGGGGTGTGGGGAGAAAGAATGGGTAGGCAGGCTGGAGGAGGAGACTCTTAAAACCCCAAGGACTCCACTCTTAAAATCTTTCTGGGGTCTTCAACCTTGTCTCACCATGTGCTGTGGTCCTTCAACGCTTTGTTGAAGTCTCAGAGACAGGGCCAAGAGAGGATCAGTGCTGGGAAAGCAGAAACCAGTGGGCTGATAGGATCAGGGAGTTGAAGTCCAGCATATTCTTCCTCCCTGTTTGGTAGACATCTCCCCTTTTCTAAAACCTAGGATGCAGTGCCACCTCTTCTTGTATCTCCACCCATCCCTCTCATAAAACCATACAGTTGGAAGGGACATAAGAGGTCATCCACCCATTTCTCCATGTAGGGGATGGCTGTGTCCTCTTTTCCCCACTTCTCCGTCTTGTATCAACATTAGTTATGAAGACCTACTGGCTGTTTTACCTGAATGTTTTGTATCAGTGTAACTGCAAAATCTGAAAAAGGGCACGAGGAGGAAGGCTGTATCTTCTAACAAAATACTGTAAGTAGATAAGAATCGGTGCTTCTGACAGGGCTTCATCACCTCTTCAGAAAATTTCTGGTGCTGCCTGCGGGGTGATCAGAGACTCCAGCAGTGATGGGGATGGGTGAGGAAGGGTCGGTCACTTCTTCCCATGTGTTGTGGATGATTTTAATTTTTCTAAGGTTTTATTTTTTTGCCATGGTCCAGAGTGGTATTAAATATCGTGGAATAAATAAGAATAAAGTTTGCTTTGATCCAAAAACAGTTAACACAGCTGGAACTGAAGAGAAGATGCGCTGAAGCATTTCTTGCCAGGCAGTGGACTACTCAGAGAGAAGGGACCTGTCTCCAATTCATGGGAAGTGCTGAAGAGTTAGAGAGCCTTTGGAGGGATTGAAATCGTTCCTGCAGGAGCCATCCCTGAATATAATAATGTTCATGGCAGTTTGTTAACTTGGGAAGCAAAGCTGTGGGTGGCTGGGAGTGCATCTGAGGAAGCAACAGCAAACACTTTTGCCTAAAGGCCCATTCACAGAAGGGGTGGGAATGGGGATGTTCTCCTGTCATCAAACTTTAACCCAGTTAATGGGTTAAGAGTAGAGGTGGCAGTTTTACTGAATCCCCCTGGCCAGCTGTGTCATGTGAACTGAAGCAGTAGGATAACTCTGTTTCCTAAATGCCAGACAGAGAGGAAGTTGTATGTGGCCCTGCAGAAATGGGTTCTTCTGGGTACCTTCTTATGTCCATCCGTCCGTCCGTCCGTCCTCTCCCTCTGCTTTACCTTTCATCCCCCTGAGGCCCCCAAGGGAAGGAGGTGGATAAGGGGTAGTATCTTGCCACCCTCCCTTTGGAGGCTGCCAAGGATGGCTGCTCTGCTGGTGGGGCTGGCATCTCTGGACGTGCCTTCTTAGTAGCCGGGGCTGAGAGTCCCGTGAGTCCAGCCCAACGTTCTGTCGCTGTTTCGCATTGTTAATCTCAGGGATAGTTTGCCTGCCTTGGAGAAATTGCTCGGAGCCACTTTGGAGTCTGGATCCTCAAGCCGCCCCGCGTCTCATCAGTTCACAGCTCCTCCACTGGCAGATGTAGCCGTTTGGGAGGAAAGGGAGGCGCGGCTGTTTTAGATGCAGTTGGGGGGGTTCTGCTGCTGCTGCTTATGGGCTTTCCAGCAGCCAGTTGATAATGATGGTGATGGTGATGTGCCATTGAGTCATTTTTGACTCCTAGCCACCACATAAATAGATTTTCTCCATGATGCTCTGTCCTTAACCTGGTCCTTCAGGTCTTCCGTTGATGCCCCCATTGCCACTGTGACTGAGTCCGTCCATCCACCTTGCTGCTGGTCGTCCTCTTCTCTTCCGCTTCCTTAGAGAGTCACAGAGAATCCCATGGCTTGCGTGATTCTGATTCTTGTAGGAATAGACACATCCTGGCATCTGAATACCTTTTCCAAGGCCTTCCTGGCCACTCTACCAAGTGCTAGCGTGCGGCGTATTTCTTGACAGCTGGTTCCTTAACTGTTGATGGTTGAGCTGAAAAGGCAGAAGCTCTCCACCACCTCAGTGTCTTCATTGTCAGTTCTGGTTTCTCTACCTGTTGTCATTAGTCTTTATATTTAATTTTAGTCCCATTTTTCACTGTGCTCCTTGCCTTTTATTACCAGAACTTGCAGATGCTTTTGCATTTTCAGCTATCTGAGAAGTGTCATCAGCGTAGCACAGGTTATTGAGGTTTCTTCCTCCAATTTTAAAACCACGCTCATCTTCTCAAGAGGAATTAGTATGAGTGAACACGAGTATGTTCTTGACGTTCTTATCTTTGGTGTTCTTCAGAGAGCATCCCAGTGGGAGTGTCCTCTTCCGTGTTTTGAAGTTCCACAGGAACAGTTGGGAT